AGTTAGTTTTCTACGTAAGGTTAACTCGCAGAAAGCAAACGACTTCGATGACTATATGTTAATGGCTTTACTTAACACAAAGCTTATATAGATATGGTTAACTCCTTAAATGGTTTCAGTTTAGAAGTAGCTTACTTGGCAACGATTAAATTTCAACGTCATTCATCATAAGAGCATCCCTATGATTAGAATCCCATTGTAGTATATGTTAACTTACAGAAGACAAAAGACCTGAATGATCGTGTATGTTAACATTAATTCATAAAGTTACACGTCCAATGTGAAAGAGAAGATTAAGGACATGACTTACTTAAGATGCAAGCTTAAATTCAATGATTTTGTTGAAATAATTCTTCAATTTAGTAAGTGGTAGCTATTGTTTTCGTTTGATGCTATAAGTCATGTTATCGACCATTATATATATCACGACCTAAAATTCAACTAGTCGTGATGGCATCTAACCTAACCCGTTAGGTAAGCCAATTAATAACTATCCAATTTAATGAGATTGATTAAGAGAAGAAATGATAATACAACTGGTTTTATACAAGAATTTCTCAAGGACTGGTAGTACAAATCATGAGTTTCTTAGATTTAGATTTTTACAAGACTGAAATGAAATAATTACAACATGTGTTTGAAATGTAAATGAACATAATTCGAATCTAATGCTACCAAGGACAAGTGATAGCCATAACTGGAACGTAGGCACATCTTCAGATCCAGCTCCCGCCGTACGCAGCAACACCAGCATCCAACATCTGCACGCAAGGTGTAGAAGTGTCGTATGAGTACAACCGGCCCCATGTACTCAATAAGTAACAAATATAACCTTACGATGAAAGCAGTGACGAGTTGGAACAAAGGTCGGAGTCCAACACAAATAGATAAAAACAGTTCATAACAACATAATAAAAGTGCTAAAAGAAGTAGCTCAAAGATATAGTGCTCAGCTCGTTCACAATTTCCGGAAAAATGGGCATGCTTTTCAAGTATAAAAGTAAAACCCACATCTTTTACCGAAAGCACAAAAATATGAGTAAGTTTCTAAAACTGTAGTTTTTCCCAAAATTTTTCAATAGGTAAATGTTTCATTATCAAATGGCACGAAGAAAATACATCTATATGCTTACATGCCAATGTGTATGAAAAGTCATGAATGACGTGATACCGTACAACATGAGCAAAATGCATCTCTATGCCTGTATGTCAATTGTGCATGTCGAATACAATACAACACGGTGAATAAACCATATGCATACTCTCAGAGTATCAATTCACTCAGTCCCCCCAGTCACTCAGTCCTCACTATGACTCAGTGCTCACAGTCACTCAGTCTCCCAATCACTCGGCACTCGTACTTAGTAGGTACCTGCTCTCACTGTGGGTGTGCAGACTCCGGAGGGGTAGATCCAGCCCAAGCGCTATAATAAGCCAATCATGGCATGAATCAATAAACATGTTGCGGCGTATAGCCCGATCTCATAATATCCTCACAATCAGGCCCTCGACCTCACTCAGCCATCAATCCTCCAGTCTCTCGGGCTTAAAAGAATCATGATAATCAACCCAAACAATGATGATATAATGTATCAATAAATATCAACAGAGACTAAGATATGATATGCCAATAAATGAGTATGACTGAGTATGTACCTGCAATTTAAGCAAATAACTCAACAGTGGTCAGTGGGTCCCAACAGAATAAGCCTATAGCCTAAACATGGTTTCTAACATGGATCACAACTCAATTACTCTAGCACGTAGAGATTTCATGGATACAAATAAGATTAGGTAACTACACAGTACCACGGAAATAACCGAGTCACAATTCACACGGTGCATGCCCACACGCCAGTCACCTAGCATGTGTGTCACCTCAACACCAAACACATAATACGTATATTCAGGGGTTTATACCCTCGGCACCAAGTTTAGAAGTGTTACTTACCTCGAACAAGCCAAATCCAATACCGATCAAGCCAAACGATACTCCAAAAATGCCATCTCGCGCGTACCGACCTCCGAACGGCTCGAAACTAGACAAAAGCAACTCAAATACATCAAATAATGCCTAAGAAAATAAACCCAATTGATAAAGGTCGAATCTTAAATCAAAAGCCCAAAGTCAACCAAAAAGTCAAACTCGGGCCCGCACCTCGGAACCTGACAGAACTTATTAAATCCGATAATCCATTCAAATACGAGTCCAACCATACTAGTTTCACTCAAATCCGACTCTGTATTGATATTCAAAATTCAAAATTTCACTCTATGAAACTTTAGACAAAAACTCTCCATTTCTCTTTTGAAATCATCAACCAATTGCCAAAAATAAAGTTAGATTCATGAAATATAATCAAAACCGAGTAGAGAACACTTACACCAATCCACATGGTGAAAATCGCCTCAAAAATCGCTTCAATCCGAGCTCCATAGCTCCAAATATGATAAAATGGCCGAAACCCCCGAAATAGAGTACTTTATAATCACTGGGCAAATCAATGAATCGCGATCGAGGAAATACCCTCATGATCGCGAAGAAGGAAAAGCACTGCCCCAGAAAAATATCCTATGGGATCGCGGAACAAGCTTCGCGATCGCGAAGCACAAAAGCACGGCCTCGAAAAATCTCTATGTGAACGCGGCCCCAGGCTCACAAATGCGATGAAGAAGCCATAAAGACCCGCCCAGCACAGCTCTACACTTCGAATGCGTGTACATCTGCACGAACGCGATGCTCAATCTGCAGGCACTTATGCGAACACGGACTAACATTTGCGAACGTGAAGAAGAAATACTCTGCTCAAAGTTTTCCCTTACGCGATCGCATTCCTTTATTCGCGATCTCGAAGAATGTTTGGGTACACCAGAAATGAGTATACACCAGCAATGATAGCAAGAAGAAAGATGGTCCGAAAACCATCTGAAACACGCCCGAGCCCCTCGGGACCCTGTCCGAGCATTCCAACAAGTCCCATAACATAACATGGACCTACTCGAGGCCTCAAATCACGCATAACAACATCAGAACGACAAATGGCACCTTAAATCAAACATAATGAACTTTGAATCTTTCAACTTCCAAAACTCGTGCCGAAACACATCAAGTCAATCCAAAATGAACTCAAATTTGGCACACAAGTCCCAAATGACATAACGAAGCTATTCTAATTCCCGGAACCACAATCCGAACCCGATATCATCAAAGTCAACTCCCGGTCAAACTTATGAACATTCCAAACCTTCAAATTTCAAACTTTCGGTAATTAGTGCCGAAAACTTCTAAAAATATCCAAATACAAATTCGGGCATATGCCCGAGTCTAAAATCACCATCCGGACCTAATGGAACCATCAAAATTCCAATCCGAGGTCAAATACTAAAAAGTTAAACTTGGTCAACTCTTCCAACTTTAAAGCTTCAATCATGAAATTCATTCTTCCAAATCAATTCCAAACAACCTGAAAACCAAAACTGACGATTCACACAAGTCATAATATATCATACGATGCTGCTCAAGACTTCAAATAGCTGAACATGCAAATGCTCAAAACGACCGGTTGGGTCGCTACAATATATTATCCATTTTTTTTTTTATCGCTGCTCAAAACCTACATTGTTACATGTTTTTTTCCCCAAACATTGTTACGTTCTTTAATTTCCCTTTTCTCTGGCTACAAAAGAAGGGAGATAGACTAGTCAGGAGTCAAGTTCTATGTACGACTTTGTTTTTATCTTCTACTTTGTTACTTCAGCGGCGGATTTGTAGGCAAATTGACGGGGCACGTGAACTCATGGTCTTTCTGTCAAACTAGGTATTTTATATACACTTTTTTTGGAATTGGTCTAATATTCTCTGATGGCACCCATGCTCCGAAGAGGCTAAATGGTGCACATGGTTGAATGATGAGTTATTTACTTAGAGGACTTTGGATCAAATCCCACTTAATACTTTCTTTTTTCTCCTTTTTTAGTGGTGCACCCATGTTATAAAAATCCTAGATCCGCCTCTGATTACTTATGTTTTTGTTCATGTAAGTCAAGCATAAGGTCGAAGGCTTTCCCCATCTATTTAGCATTGAATTACAATATCCAATTTTTTGTCTTACAGAATATATTGACTTGGTCATTATAACTAAATTGTTATATCAATTGCGGGAAAATATAATTAAATCTATTAACTTAAAAGATTTTATTTCTTTGGGGAAAATGATTGAGTGCCTCTCAAATAATTGACTAGGATGAACAAATTGAAAAGCCCTC